CTTGAAAGGTTTTATATGTCATAACTACACTAGATTCTGTTACTGTTCATTGAAATAGATCAATGAAGACTCATCTTGGGTCTTCAATCGACTATATGAGGGAAATGTTTGTCCAACTCAAGTTAGCTTGGACCCCAATTTACTGGTCCATACTGGTTACTAAAGTCTCTTCTTTTAGTCTACAGACATCAGCTATTTTAACTATAGGCACTGAAATACCACAGGACTCTGTCTTCATTTGTAATCATAAACTATACTTTCAGTGTTCTTTTTTTTTTTCCATAGATAGCAATGTACAGGACAGAAATAATGCTTGTTCCTTGCTACTATGGTGTGTCGCAGATATGATATTTTTGATTTACGCCAATTTTGAACCACGGTCTGCGCTATTCCACGCCACAATGTGAGATGGACAATAACGAACGAGCTAAGATTGTGGGTGTCCGTGTGTCAGTTTGACGAGCTGGTTCACCATTTGCAACCCCTCATCCAACGCTGGACAATACACAGTACACCCGTGAGTGTTCCCGAAAGACTGGCCTTGGCACTGTGTGTTTTGGCTTTGGGTGCATACTAACCGACCGTACAAACTAACGTCCTGCACAGTGTGTGGGATAGTGTGCGAGGTATGCCAGACGTTGTGGACGGCATACAAGGGTTTATGCCATTAGATACCAAACAGGAAATAAGCATAGTGTAGAGCAGATGTAGAATTGACCAATCAGAGGCCTCCTTTCTCTCCTCCCTGCGATGCTATCTGCGGTCATGTCTGCAGTCACCTACAATTTTGGGAAGGTGCACAAGTGTCTGTGGAAGGGGGGCATATCTGCGTCAACTGCGACACACATGCAGACGACCTGGTTTCTGAACATAAACCAGGGTTTGAAAACTTCTAATCTTTAATGTGTTGCTTTCAATTTGGATCAATATGTCTGTCACGCCTGCATTCCTTAGTGTTTTTTTCTTGTAGTTGTTTAGCAGAGAACATTTTTCCAAAGGCGATCTGACAGTCCCTTTGGATACATTATTAGCCTTGTCAAACATGATTTCAATCTGTTGGCTTTACAACCTCCTTATACATGTTATTGCCAAAGTTTAAAAATATGAATAGAAAACCATCTGCATTCAAATACAATGCTGTACTTTTAGACAGATAACATGAAGAGGGTAAAGGAATTAGTTTAAGTGATTCAATGACAAAATATCTGTGGACTGTAACTTAACTAAAGATCTTCAATCAAATAAATAAATGTACAACGAATAGGTTAAATATATGGTATACAATATTAATAATTAATTTATTTTGTTTGTATAGCTTTGATTAAAAATCTATTTTTATGATTTGACTCTTGTGGATTTAGATATTTCAGAACAAACTAGGGTAATAGAAGATGGTGTTTCTCAACTAGAGTGTGTGGTAAATATATTTCAACAGTCCACCCTCCTAGCAAAAAGACTGAGCTCAAGTCAGAGCAAACACTGAAAGGAAATCTAAAAACCAGCGCTGCATAACAGAAGTACTCCAGACCACAAGGTGGAGATAATAAGCTATATAAAGGTATGTTTTCCATTAAATCTGTCTTAAAGCTACAGTGTGTAATAATTACAGGGATATAAAGTCAGAAATTTAATATATTATACATAACTATGTTATTTATCATCACCTATGAGCTCAGCCATTTAACCATAATATTTGCGTTGCCTAAGAATTCGTTATTTATAATTACATAGGAGCGGGTCTCGCAGCCATGGAGGCTGACATCTTTGTGCTACGGCAAGCGCAGAGGCAACAAACTAGCGATTGCGAGATCGCCCATTACGCTCGAAAATAACTACGGCAAGTTGAGAGAGATTAACTGAGACGGTACTGAACAGTAGATGGCAGTACTATGCCTGAGAAGCGTTTAGTCTGCCTGAAACCAAAGAAGAAGAAGAAGCAGGTATACTGCGCCTCAGTAACAAGAAAGGTGAACAAGGCGGCAGGCGTGAGTGACTTTGCAAACTGTTTGGCACTGTGTGGCCAAACATCAGACGAATGGAGGATCATGCCTACTCTGTATCACAACGAAAAGCGGCGGGCACCGAACCCCCGTCATCTAAGAAGCGGAAACACGACGAGAATAAACGCAAGCGTGACAAGAAACGACAAAAAACACGGATCAACATTGGCACGGCATTTACACGATGGAAGTCACTGATGGAGGAAAAAGGTTTTCAAAGTGACGCTCAAGTTGCCAGTTTTCTCTTGGACAGGTAATTAATCCTACACACACAATTGTCTAATATCACTGCAGTTTTTGGAGTACAGAATGCTCAGACCTGTCTAAAACAATAACATGCTGCGTGATGATGCTGTTACTCTCCAGTATACTTATTCAGCAACGTCCCTGACGTTTCACAGGTAATGATTCAGTAATTTTCTGTAAAATAATTTTCTGGATATATACCTCGGTTACTTCTCTCCGGCTCCTTTGGAGATCTTCAAGCCTTTCTTCCTCTGCTCTCACCCCGCTGGCTCCCCTCCCTCGCCTGGCCCTAGCTGCACGCCCACCCCGGCCTCTCTGTCCTCGCCCTCTTCCTCGCCTTGTAACCCCCGTGCCACAAACAAGACTTGGACTCTGTAAACGGGGAATATATATTCTTCCAGCGAACACAATCTTGCTGTTAAACTAATGACTACAATTCCTTCGTCTGTTTATATCACCATGCAAAGCAGCTCACCAAAACGTCACAACGATGTAGAAAAAATAACGGGTATATTTATTATCTAAAGTCTACATGAAATCTATACCCTATACAGACTAATGAAATACTATCTGTAAAATTATCTATGTAAACAAACCTCATCACTTGAGAAGGTAGGTGATTCCGACGTCGTGGAAGACATTTTGTCCCCTAACGCTTGCCGTACTGTTGGGGGGGAGAAGCGGTGGGGGGGAGACGTTCATTTTGCTGCAGTCTGCAGTCTGGACGTTAGATGTCGCTGAAAATTACACACTGTAGCTTTAAACGACCAATCTCTCTTAGTATCCCATTCATGCCTCTGGTATCTAATGTGTTGATATGTTTTTCTTTGCATGTTTTGTGCATCAGTCTGGTTTTTATGTTTGCAGTACTTTTTGAATTTGTTAATTCAAGTATTTGCACAGCATTTGCTTAACACCTCAGCCACAGTTCTTTTGTCTTTTTTTCAACAAATCCCACACTCCACCATTCCACAAAAAACAGGAAACAGAGAAAGTGTTGGAGCGATCACAGGGTCAAAACACTATTTGTTTATATCCAACTCTTTCCTTTCTTCAGCATACATATTCAATGAAACATATTGGATTTTTATATATCTACTTTCTATCTTCTGGCTGTAAAGAAATATATTCTTCCAGCTCTAATTAAATAGAGGTCCCTCTGCTAATACACATGGAAAAGGTCACTGAAGGATAAAGTAATGCCACAGTGGGGAGAATTACACAAATTGATTATGGATGAAAAAGCCAATATCCAACATTTATATATCAAAAAGGGCTTTTGACATAGATTAGATTTTTGGTTATCAAAATGCAACTTTTCTCCTTTTGTCTTTTAAATTATAAGCCATGGCCAAGCAACAGAATATATTGGACAGAACTCACTTTACCTAATAATCTCTACAAAATGAGAATCTCTTTATATTGATTCAGAATCCCAGCTTATGTCAATATTATGGTATATCTCCCATCAGTTCCAGCCTCGCTGGGAGTTCACTGCTCTGCTTTTCAGATGCACATTGTTTACACACCGGAACAGGTCATTGGACTGGAGGCGCTTTAGCTGCAAGAAGCTGACAGCTCACCCACCTAAAAAAAAAAAAAAAAAAAGAAAAAAAAAAAAAATCAGCAAATAGACTGAAACATTGCTGCTTCATAAGTGCAGGTTTGTGCATCTAAAATTGTCATTTGTAAAAATGAAATAAATAAACACATTTTGATTCAGAGATCCATCCATCCATCCATCCATTATCTGACACGCTTGTCCCAATTGGGGTCGCGAGGGGTGCTGGTGCCTATCTACAGCTGTCAATGGGCGAGAGGCGGGGTAAACCCTGGACAGGTTGCCAGTCCATCGCAGTGATTCAGAGATATTACTGATTATTTTTAAGGTCATCTAGAGGTCAAATATCCCCCCATAGAGCTCCGAATTGAATATAAATTATCTACTTCTCCATTACTACTGTATTTCAGCAGGTAAAACTGTTTTATTTAAGATAGAATAATTTTCTAATTTCAGCTGATGATGTCACCATCCGACCAGACATTAGCCTTGAGCTAATTTCCTCATATAAAAGTATTGCATAACATCACATGTCATTCCTGTGCTGGTATTGAATGTAACAGTAGGCTTGTTTACCTTATTTAGTGGTTGAAATGATTGTTTAATATTTATTAAACAATCAGCCTCCCAGACCCTTCAGTTTGGACCTGCCGTTACCCCTGGCAACACCATAGCATTTCCCGTCAAGGTCTTGTTGTCGGTGAATCACATTAAAGGACAGGTGAAACTTAACTTAAAGGAATGCTGCTAAATTGTTCTCTGTGAACAACTTTTGAATCGGCTTGGGAAAAACATTTTTTTTTTTTTTTTTTGGAAAAGCCCCAGAATCAGAAAAAAAGAGTCCACTTTGATTCATCCAGAGCTGATGGTGGAATTTAGCAGGACTTTCTTGTGAATCCATGCTGGGTAGTGGGCAGCGACTGACCAGGGGCTTTGCTGGAGTTAAGGGAGGATGATGAACAATCCCTCTAGGGCTAAATTAGAACAGCTTTTTTTAAAGCCACCTATAAACCTCTTGAGAGCATTCATTATTTCTACCTTTGTTAACATTATTATTATTATTATTTCTCTGTATTCCATTTTAACTGAAAAAAGCTTTTCCTATACCCAGCCCCTGATTAGTTGCCGCTTCATTATTTCATGAAAAAGTTCAGATTTTTCTACTTCAGCAGTCAGTAAAAGTGGATAAAAACTTTGCTCTTCGGTTTATTAAACTTCACCTTCTATATGTACAAATGTTTTTTTCCACAGGACACATAAAATAGTACATCTTTAAATAATGTCTTTGGGAGTGTCTGCGGACATATCCAGCCCCGGTAATGGTACAGTGATGGTTGAAACAAACACACATTTACAAGAGCTTAAAAAAAAAGCAAAAAACAATCGTTTTTGATTTTTTTTTTCTGTACGAAGTCATTGAGAAGGACATATTTTCTTTTTCATAGGGCCTGTTAGTTCTGTAACAAGATGAATATTTGAAAGCATTTATTTCAAAAACTCAATCATGCAGTTCCCTGAGGTCAATGAAACTATTAGCAGCAAGTCTGAGGACAGTGACAAGTGAGCCATGTTGCTATTTTAGCAGTGCAGCTCTTTCACTTCAGTGTTTCTTTTAAAATGACATTTTAGATCTTAATAAGCATGATTTAAAAAAGCTCCCTGAACTGGGCCATCCTTTGGTCATAAGCAGTCCCTGCACAATGCAACCTGTCCTTTTTGGTAGTCCCTACATGGGCAAAGGCGTTGGTATTTGCGACTAGAACCAGCACAGCTAAACAATAGAGGATCGTGCTGTAGGCTGCATTCAGCATGCTCTGCAGAGAAGGCAGGAAAGAGGTGGTTCATCTCAGATTCTACTCCTTCACATTGGAGGTCCAACCTGGGCAGAGACGGAAAAAGATAAATGAAAATTCTTTAATATATTTGACATTAATGCCTGCACAAACGCCTTAGGAGATCCATGATTATTTGACATACATATTTATTATTTATGTTACAGTGCTTCTTTCACTCTCAGGCAGAAAGGAAATTCTAACCTGTTGGGTTGAGCTGAGAGCATTTTCCCTTTGGATTTGATTTTAAAAGTACATGTTCAAATGAGGCATGAAACCATTTTCTGTGTTTTGTTTTAGAAATTTGTTTTGTTTGCTGTTTTAGATCTATGAGATTAATTGAGAAATGGGTTAAAAAGAAAACATATATCTAACCTAATGTTTTAAATCATGCTTTAAAGAAATGTTTGCATTATTTCCTTATTTATATCACCCAATCTAATTATTTCATGCCCTTGGTAAAGGGGGTACCTTATAGCATTTCCTTATAAGTTAAATGTGGTAAAATGTTCCTCAAATCTCTATATATTTTTCATAAACTATCCAAATAGCAAAGAAAAAACATCTTACGCGCTGAATGCTTCTTTGATGTTGATAAAACGATACAAGGCAGGTTCACAGATTAGTCCTTCACTCTGGCATGCTTCCACGCATGACTGGCCTTGTAGTGATGTCAAAAGCCGGAGTGCAGTGAGAGGAGGCCATGATGGGAAAGAGCTGGCATTGGAGCCCCATGTAAGCATTTTTGAGTTAGGCAAAGGGAGGAAGGGCCCTTTGAGCAAATCCCACGATGTGTTTACTGGAGGAAAGGGAACCTCGGGTGAGCAAAAGTCCTGCAGATTCAAAGATTCACAAATCACAAAAAAAATTCTTGTTGAATACAGTAACGTCTCAAAGAAATAAAAAATGTAATGTAACATTTTTTTTTTTTACAGTGAAACAGTTTCAATACAGTTTGCATCACTGGAGTTAGCATCACTGCAAACAAGGAGCCCTAACATAGGTAGGCAAAAAAACAAAAGAGCCTGCCATAAGTGTGTGGTTGTGGGAGATCTAAAGGCAGATGTGCAAACCATTTCAGTTCAGCCCTATTAAAAACACAGAATTTTGTGCAACTAGCAATTTAATACTAATACACCCACCCACCCCTGCAGTCACGATTTAAAGGATGTGTAAGAGGCGACCTTAAAATGTCCCCCTTTTGCCTGATGGTCCTCTGTTGGTGGATGTATCGACATGAAGGTACATTCTTCAATAGATATGACACTGCACACACAGCTTTGTTTTCATGACATTGACTTCCAACCATTCTATAGTTATGTTTACCCTAAACATAACTATTATCAACACATATCTATATCTATATCTATATCTATATCTATATCTATATATATATATATATATATATATATATATATATATATATATATATATATATATATATATATATATATATATATATATATATATATATATATATATATATATATATATATGTATATATATATATATATATATATATATATATATATACATATATATATATTTTTTTTTTTTTTTTTTTTTTTTTATATACTCTAATAATCCCAGAGGGAAATTACTTCTCTGCATTTAACCCATCCCCTTGGGGAGCAGTGGGCTGCCATTGTGAGGCGCCCGGGGAGCAGAGTGAGGTTAAGGGTCTTGCTCTGGGAGCCAGAATGGCAGTCTGTGGGAGTGGGGGATAAAACTCACAATCTCAGGATTCAAAGCCCTATGCCCTAACCACTAGGCCGCCACTCCCGCCAATGGGAGTATATATATGGTATATGGGTACCAGTTGAATGTTCCTATATGTACTTGTAAGTCCCCTACATGCAGGTAAAACACGTCCACCCACACACACCGAATCTTGGTTCTTTAAAGGCTCTGTGATGGCTGTACTCTGGTTTCTGTTAATATTCAATTCATTTATTTTTGTAAACATGCCACAATTTTAAATTTCAGTCATTGTGCTATTATTTTGGTTTATTTGCATAAAGACTGTCTGCAGTCCTGCTGAATTATTCTGCTGGCCTGCACGGACATCTTATTCCCCACTGATGTTATTCTACAACATTTTTCCTGACCTTCAAAATATATTAAAAATGCTTACAGAAAGTATGTCCTTTTCTATACTTGGTTGAGCTCCTGTTGCATGAATTCCGTGCACGTGGTATGGGGTAATTGTCCTGTTGCACTGTATAATGAAAGCCCACATAGCTTTGAAAGCGTCCTTCGGATCCCTTTGTGTGACTTTTTTAGGGTCTGGCCTTTCATGTTTTGAATTACATAGATTTATGTCCATAGATTTGCTATTGGGTTCAGGTCAGGAAAATCTGCTGGTCAGTCAAGAAGAGGAACTCAATGGTGATTGAACCAACTTGACAGCTTGGGCAGATACAAAGTCCTTGTAGAAAATAAAACCAGCATCCATATAGTCAGCAGAGGAAATCATGAAATACTCTAGAATTTCCTGGTAGATAAAAATATTGATTGTGGAATCAGAAAACACAGGGGATCAACACCAGAAAATGACATGGTATGCCCAACCGTTACTGACTCTGGAAGGCTCACAATGGACTTTAAGTAACATGGATTCTGATCTTGTCTTCGCTTACTACTGTGGTTCATACTAATGAGCACTGCAGTTCTATCTGTTGCTGGTGAACCTTCACCTACCACACTTCTTCCTTTAATCATTTTTTCTGTAAATACAGAACTTGGTCAACAACCAGCTGACCTTTTATGGTCCTTTTTCCCCCCTTTTGAGGGGTTTCAATGATTAAAGTTCTCAAAGAAACCATTTGCATTTGTCTATGAAATAAAATCCCAGTTCAACAATGAAAGATTATGGTTGTAACTTGATAAAGTGTAGAAAAAAAAAAGCAGAGGAAAAACTTTTGCAAGACAGACTTCTCCAATGAGGTAGCGACAGGTGGGTAAAACTGAGGTTCTCATAGAACCTGTTGTCATTTAAGCCTGCACTTAATCTATAAAATAAATCTGTATGATTTGTTCATAATTGCAAATCATTCTTACAATTAATGCTCAGTTTTAAATGTGACAAAAAAAGAAAGTACTAACTGTATCTGACAAGTTCTGACAATTTACATGGAGCAAAACATTTTTCCGAATAACAAATAAGACGTTGAGGCTGAACTCTACTGCAGTGAGTCACTAGATTAGATTCCCCCCCCTAGCTGGGCCTATTAATAAAACCCAGGTAATAACATCTCTCTGACATGTCCCTCTGGCCTCTGGACCCGTTTATTAAACAAGCTCCCATGCCCACAGGCAATAACCAAGCTTCCAATCTCACAATCTCTGCTGCACCTACTTTCCTAAACACAGGTGACATTGTTGATCCCTCTTCTTTGCATGTACATGAAAAAGTACAAGGCACAGAAAGGATTGCAACTGCAAATCTTAATTTATACATTTGGAAATGTGTGGAGTTTCATTTTCTTTTCTTTTTTTTACCTGTGATCTTACAGTAATAATTTTTTTCAATACCTGACTTCCCTCTCTCAAGGTTACCTTTTCAAGCCTAAAATCTTGTGAAAATTATGATAATGGGAGATTTTAATATTTTAAAGCAGTTACCCTTTGATCAGCATGCAATTGCTAGTTTTGATAGATTTGTTCTTGAGAAACTCTATAGGTGTATTATTCAATTATTATTTATTTATTAGGATTGGTCACAGGCAATATCATTACTATGTTGTATACAACAAGTTTTTGTTTGTTTTTCTGGACAAACGTAGCACTGAGACAATCTAAAACAAGCCCAAAGTACCATTTCATCCCACCGTCATTTTTGGTTTAGATAACTTTTAAATAAAGCATTATATTCAGTTATGTCTCCAGCATCAAAATATTATTAAAAAGGCCTCATGTGAGTTGCTTATCCATATTAAAGAATCACCGTGCTGCTATAAGACTCTCTGGCGTGATCATTGAAGTTGGACTGTAGCTCTGCCAATGAAAAGGGAAGAGCAGATGCTTTGCAGTGACATGACAAGGTAGATAGGTTCAGGGAAAATACTAAAGGATGTGTAAAAATAAGCTGGGGTTAGAACATTTGTGGCTGACCATTAAATCCTAAAATTCAAATATTTCGAAATATATTTTTTACATGTGCAAGATAAATATTTAATCAATAATGACTAGTAAAGTTTTTTTGTTCCTCGATGGATTGGTCACGTATTTCCGTCCTAGGGTGCAGAAATCCTTAAAAGTTGTACATGTGCAGTAGCTCCTCTTCAATGCAAAAGATAGGATAATCCGGGGCACAGCTCTCCCGTGCCCAGAGCTGAACGCAGCTTTATTTGCACACCACCTCACGTCATAGCGTTGACGTCACAGTTGTTTGTTATAAGGTACGGCTGATTGACTGGTTTATATAATTATTTAGCAATGAGGCTTGGCTAACTGCATGCAGCAAGGCTGAAATTTTATTCTGCTTTCCCTGCCTCCTTTTTCAAATATCTGGATCTGACCCAGCATGTATTACGATAGGTGTTACTGATTTAAAGCACTTTTCAGAAAGTTTTTTAAAGTTGTTATTTTGTTGTTGGCTTTCATGTAAATATACTGGTGTGATAACTTAGTATACATTTCATTAGTTTTTGGTATAAGTCTATTTTGAAGTTATAGCCCCCCTGTAGAAAACCCCACCAGCCACCACTGGGTTAAAATTGATAAAGGTTACATTGTGAGAAAAGACAAAATGTGAAAAAAAAATGGAAGAAGGAAAAGGGACAGGGCTCTGACTTGAAATCTGCAATTTAGGTTTGTGACCTCAGTCAGTCACAGTTAGCGTTAGCATGTTGGATTTAGTTCTGACCAAAAAAAATGGCTACAAGGTACAGCGGAGGGTAAAATATAACTTTCAGCTGTGAGAGCAAATGCTTTTGAAAGAGTAACATGACATGGCTTAAGGTTTATGTTTGTAAATATCATTTAAATATAATGATTTTTGGACGGATGTAAATAATTCAGCTGTAAATGATTGATCAATGCATCTCTCTGTTATAGTGGAGCTTAAAGAGTGCACAATGGGAAACAGTGACAAGGCTTACATTGCTTTCAGCTAGCAACTCAAAAGAAGGCAACAGGTGACTCGGGCTGTGAGGAAGAAAGATTAGTGATGAAACAAAAAATTTCTCATTAAATAGAAATTTAGACCAACAACTCAGTGTACACGTGAATGTAACAGGAGAGAAAAAAACTGTGAAGAGGGAACACATTATAAATGACTAATCCTTTCAACATTTCTCAGAACACATGCTGAAATAAATACACTTATCCCAAAAAAACGACTAAATATATTCTACCATTAACTTTGTAAGAAAGAATCATCCTTTGTGTTTTTTCACAGTCAGGTGCATCAGAAAATGAAGGATCTGAGTGTTCCCACTGGCTGGCATGTATTCAACATTGATCAATGCAATATCCAAAAAACAGTTCAGACAAAACATTTATCCATCTCTAATGAAAAAAACCAATACAATTCCAATAAGAACTCCAGCTGTCTATGGGCGAGACGCAGGGTACACCCTGGACAGGTCGCCAGTCCATCGCAGGTCAACACAGAGACAAACAGGACAAACAACCATTCATGCACACACTCACACCTAAGGAGAATTTAGACAAGTCAATTAACCTAACAGTCATGATTTTGGACTGTGGGAGGAAGCTGGAGTACCCGAAGAGAGCCCACGCATGCTCAGGGAGAACATGCAAACTCCCTGAAGAAAGACCCCGGGCCGGGAATCGAATCCAGAACCTTACACGATACACCACATGACATAAAATATGGAGTATCAGTATTTACAAAAGTGTTAACAATTGTCTGAGGAGCACAACTGCTGCAGCTCTTAAAGCTCTTAAGAACATAGTTGTCAATTTTAGTAAGTAAAAAGTATCTAAACTACAATAGTGCTCTTCCAATTAACTGCATTTACAAGGAGTACTCCACCTCTATATTGGTAGATTTGTGTCTTTATTAAAAAAGAAAATTATCAAACAAAGAAAGTTCAAATGAAAAAACAAACACACAAAAAAAAATGTTGAAGGGATTTTTTTTTTAAGTTTAAAACCTTATGGAGTGGTTTTTATTTTTAGACACAAACATCCCACAGTGGGTAGCAGAGCAACACAGGTCTAGAGTTCCATACCAGACAAGACCCCAGGTTTAGACTGCGCAAGGAGGCCACAATTCAGCACATAACCACAGGGTGTAAGAAGCTGGCAGGGAAAGCTTACATGGAGAGCCATAACCAAGTGGCTGGAATAGTGCACAGGAACATCAGTGAAGATTAAGGGCTGGAAACCCCAAGGTCAAAGTGGGAAACACCTCCAAAGATGATAGAGAATGACTGAGCCAAGATCCTGTGGGACTTACAGATACAGACATACTGAATGGTAATGGCAAACCAACTGGACATTGTGGTGGTGGACAAAAAGCAGGGGAAAATAGCAATACCAAGTGACTGCAACATCAGGAAAAAGGAATATGAGAAACTAGAGAAATACCAGAGGCTCAGTGAACAGCTGGAGAAAACGTGTAAGGTCAAGGCATCAGTTGTGCCCGTAGTCATTTGGGCACTCGGGGCAGTGACCCCCAAACTTGAGGAGTGGTTATAGCAGATCTCTTGAAATACATCAAACATCTCGGTCCAGAAAAGTGCAGTTCTAGGAACAGCAAAGATACTGCGAGAACCCTCACTCTCCCAGGCCTATGGTAGAGAACCAGAGTTTGGAAGAAACAAAGGGAGACCGCCCGCGGTGGGTGAGGAAGAGTTTTTTTTTTTTTTTGTCCATCCATTATCTTCTGATCTGTCAGGTTCATCCTCAATATCTCCAGCAGCCCATGGGCCAAACTAGGGATACACTTAAGACAGGTTGCAAGATGCAAGTCTGTTGCAGGTTCACACAGCGACACACAACCCTGAACACCCACACATCTGAGGACAATTTAGCGATACAAATTGACCTAACAGTCATGTTTTTGGACTGTGGGACGAAACCGGAGTACCCGTAGAGAACCCAGCATACACAGAGGGAACATGCATACCCAGTACAGAAAGACCCTGGGTCGAGGCCAACTTCATCATTTTCCAGTGTTTCATGTCATAAACAATGTATTTACAGAAACATCTAAATCAACATCAAAGTTAGGTTTCCTAAGGGGTCTTCCTGCATTTTTCACCTCAAAGCACCGTTTAATGTGTTCTGGCAATATTGCAGATTTTTAAATCAAACAGGGATTTACATAGAAAAGCATATGGATGTAGAATATAAAAACAGCCCTCTTGCTCTTGGCGTATAGGTGTATAATCTGGACCCCAAACCATCATGATGCTGAATACCCACCTGATTCTGAATATAGGCATGAACCCTTTCAAGCATTCCTTCACATGTATATTCATAGGGCAGGAATGGCTCCACCTGCAGAAAATTGATGATGATGAAGAAGAAACAGAGGAAGTCAGTGTGTTGTTGGTATGTATCTGCATGTTTAGAGCTAAACCATTGTAATTACAGCAGCTGAGCATCTACTAGTTAATCCCAGCTGACATATTCATTAGTGTAATTGTAGGAGACTTAAATCATGCCACAAGTTTCACATAAAAATCAATGACCTAATACATCAAAGGTGGCAGTCTTGAAAATTAATTTCATTATTATATTTGGCGATGACTACATCAATAAATCATACAATGGATTAAAGATCCTGGAGCACGAGGGCGTTTTAATACAATCTGGACCATGCTTGTGCTTTTATTGGGGGGGGGCTTTTGACGTTTTTGGGTTCTGCTGGTAGAAAATGGTTTGAAATTTTCTGAGATGCTAATCGGTTAAACTTTTTTTTTCTCTGTTTGATACACTTGACTGAGAGGATTCACAACACACTGGTGTCTTTGTAGACAGATGAACTACATTTGGAAGCTGTTGAAGTTTGATGAGATCAGGAATTATTTATTGAAATGATGAGCTATTTTGCCAGGTTCTCCTGTGGTAGTTTCTCACTTTAGATCCTCCTCATGGTAGCTAAACTACAACCTATAGTTCCGATCAGACCAACAGTGTTTTCCTTCATTTAAATTGATAAATGGTTCTTTTTAGTGTTCTGTTGCTTCTAGCTATCTCTTATTACATTATTTTATCCGAGTTAAATGAAATGTATCTGGCACCTCATCAGCTGTTCTCGGCTGCAATTTGCCTTTTGGGCATCTTTATATAATTGAAAGGAAGAAAAACAAATCATGTCTGGTCATTTGAATTTCTGTAAATAGAGCTTTTGTTTATGTAGGAAAGAATTGTGCAGTGGAGGAAATATTAATTTGATCTGCTTTTGATTTTGTAAGTTTACACCAAGAGTACTTACTAAAGCAGTTCTTCATTTTAATGGAGACAGAAATTGAAGAAATTGAGGGGGGAAATATATTACATCGGTTACTTGAATGATATTGTATGAAAAAGGGTATTTTACTCCCTAGAAGAAAAGCAACAAAATACCAGTACCAACACAACATGATGCTGCCCAACCTGTACTTCACAGTTGTGATGTTTTTATTTCTATTTTGTATATATCATTTTAATTGCTATTTCAAGCTAAACACTAAGATTTCAGTTTAATGAAGACAAAGGACATGTCTACTAAAAAAGAAATCCTACTTTCTAACTCAACGCACTTACATCTGTCTTTATGCTGGTGTCAGACTAACTGCTCCTTCCTTTCTAAGCAGCCTTTAAAACGTCAGAATTTATTTTATTCTAAATTATAAATAATTTGTAGAGACTTGAATGGAATTTTCAAGATAATTCTAATCTAGGCTTGATAATTTCTAAATGGTTTACATTAATTCACATTTATTTCTTGGATACAGCACCTCTGTCCTTTGTGAGTGGTGTTATACAGTAGATAGACACTTGCATATCACAGCTTAAACAGGTGAATGCGGCACTGTAAGGCATCTGGATAAAAGCTGCCATTAAGTATGCACCATACTCTTAGAGGTGTATTCTTGATCTCTTGCCTGATTTATTTTACGTTTTGCTCGAAAGCTAAAACACTGAAAACATTGTTTGAGATTTTATAAAATGTTTTTTTTTTCTTTACTACATTTTAAATTTTAAATCAAATGTTCCACCTTTGCTTTGCTAGCTTACTTTGCATACTGTGTGCAAGAGTTGATTTAGCACCATCCAAAGGTAACACAATCCACCTATCATCACAAAATAATTACCATGTCCACACAAAAGCAAAGTCTTACCAAGCAGACTAGTTGCTTGGCAACAGAGGCTGTGGGAACTTCTCCCATTGCTCATAGCCTATAAAAAGTCAAACGCAAAGCCCCTTGAGAACTTTGAGACCTTGGCATTTTGTTGGACCGAATGCAGGATGTGATGTGTTGACGATGATGCATTAAAGGCCTTAGTGGGTAGATTTTGTGATAGAGCCAGATAAGCTTTTTACATTGTTGACTAAAGTTGAAAGTGGCCAGCCTAATCAAAAAATCCCTCAAACCATAATAACCTTAATAAACCTTAAATATATACAAATCATAGCATTTTTTTGTATCTATGTTCAAATTTTATTTGTTTTTTTTATTCATTTTTACTAGCAACAAAACATAAGTGACACCTGATTCCTGTTTGGTTTTTGTGTTTAATAATATAATCTCCAGCCTGTGCTCTTCTGCCATTATTCATTTTGCATGTCGAGTATTGCAATATCTTCCCGTTGAATCAGCACTTTAAGGTGTCTAACAGGGTTACGACTTGTACTTTGTTTTGCCTCTATCAGCAGGAAACACCTGGCTGGTAGAAGTGCAGATGCGTTTCTGCACAACGAGAAGTTTGGCAGTGACTCTGGGTTGCTCTGGTGACAGATTGAGAACAGCGTGATTGATTCATTCAATGTAATGCAAACAACGCTCGCTGCCTGTGGGGCTAGCCTTCAGAAAGCTGCTGTGTAAAACCAGGTGTGGGCACAGTTTACCAGTGAAGCCACTCAATATCTGCAACAATTAGAAGCGAAGAGAGCAGAGAGGAAGCCAGCTAAGCAGTCTGTTATAATGTCAGCTGTCAAGATTAAGAGCAGGGTCAAAAAAGTAGGTCAAAGCAAGCTGAAAGAACTCATTACTCTCTCACAATGTGTGTTAATATGTAGCAGCATGCACTTTAGTTTAGGCAGAAAACACATGCAGTTAACGTACATCGATCTTCATGATCTCACGTATGGTTGCTTCAAATACTTCAGAGTTATTGAAGTCAATGGTGATGACATGCGGCCTGCCGATATACTCCTCTGCGTAGGGATGTTGAGAGGACACCTGTGACAGGCATAAAAAGGACTTTTTTAAAATCACAGTAAAAGTAATTTGTTCAGACTAAACTATGAAGTGTTCTTCTTAGTGGATTTTCTTATAGTCACATTTTGTCAGCTTATAGCCACAAACTTCAGTACCTTTTATTGGGATATTAATGTGATACACTAAGGCAGTAGCACAAACATTTGCAATGCATAAAAAAAAAAGCCTGTGTCAATTTTGCTATAAAAGGAAAAAAACTGAAACAAATTGTGTTCAGCCGAAACGAAAACTTTCACCTTGAGTCTCCCTCATGCTTATTACTGTAAAATGTGAGGGTAAGTTTCCACCACTTTTTAACATTATATACATATATTTTTAAGCTGAACATATATTTTTACCTTATCACACTTTGAAAAATACCTAATTCTCATTAAAACTTTATGGCTGCAAAAGGGTAATTTCAATTACATCTGTAATTGTGTTATGTGCAATTAACAGTCATGTTAGAGTCTTTCTAAATAAAAAGATCAGATTCAAATTTTAACTACTACTCTGCCATTTTAACACACATGCATACCCTAAGGGTTCTAGTCATATACTGTAGCTTGTGTTGTGTTGTCCTGCTGGAAGTTAAGCTTTTACCCGTGTCTGAGGTCCTCCAACATGTTTTTTTCCAGCATTGCAAAGGTTTTAGCTTCATCTGTCATCCTATTAACTCAGATTAGCTTAATGTGATACTGCAACCACCATGTTTCATCAGAGTAAGAGTTTTTTTTTTCAGAGAAAGGTTTAGTTGGTTTTCTTTCACACATTGTTTTGCATAGTAGTCTATTTTGTTTTAATGATGTCTGACCAGATAACTTCTAGCACTTGAGTGACAAACGTGACTTCCTTCGCTTTTCTTACTAAAGTTTATTTCTTTCTGGTTTTGTTATATACAAATCTTTGAAGGGAATGATTAATAATTAAAATGTTTATTGCCATGTTGAAGGGGTGATTGAATGAGTGTAGTAGTAAAGCACTGTGAAGTCCTTAAACTTAATAAAAACCTTTCCAAAATTAAGCCATTTAGCATGTTATCAATTCAGTTTCAATAGCAGTTAGTTTCACAAACTTTTTAATTTGGGCAAATCTAACACATTTTTTCCCAACAAAACACATTAATGTTTAGTTGTAATCGGAGGTAATGTGAAGTGGTCACTATTTTTGCAACAAATTTTACATGTAGAAAAGCAGGTATGATGAAACTTAAACAAACCATATTTTACCGGTAGTTATACTACTGTAGCAGAGCTTTCTCAGCCATCGGGTTCATAACAGCTTCTAAAACTGGGTAAATATATCCCCAGCACACTCATATAAGTTACAGCTCCTGATGCCCTTAGATAACTGCCTTAAGTAATGATTAAAAAAGTAGAGCTTTTGGAGGGTTGTTCATCTCAAGAATATATGTTCTATTTAACACAAGATAAATAAGCATTTATTGCTTCTGAACTTAATGAATGGAAAACATTTGAGCCAACTCCACATTTATTCAGACCGAATGTCTCACCAAGTTTCCCTTTGAGGTCAAACTGTAAAAACATAAGAAAAAAATGCAAAATACTGCAGTATAAACCAAAACACTGAAGTTAAAAATGTCTATGCAAAAAACCTTATAGGGACGTTTTAACAAGCTAAGCCTTTTGAATACACCGGGAAACATCTCTTTGTCTTTGCTTTTTTCCTCTTGCAACAACAATCAAAGAAGTGTTTTACAAAATACAACCTAAAGCAAGACCTGATTTGTTTATAACAAAAGACTATGTTATGATTCATGATAATGTGCATTAATAAAGCAAATCTCACCATATCCGTATGTATATTTTATGGAATAATTTGATATTAAGAACATTTGATCATTACATTATCCCTATGTACTCTGTAAAGAACAAACTCAGAAGTATAAAGAAAATAATGATCATTGTTTATAAAACTTAGCTCTTTGGTAGAGCTGGACTGGACTACAGGCAGTATAAGCAAATGGTAGGGGGACTGTAGGTCTGTTAGGGTGCACTGGGTGCATCAAGTTTTTTGTTTGTTTTCAAACAGTCTATAACTAACATGCTATATATAGTTTTATTTATTGAGTTTAACAAACCACTAGTCAAACGACACCTTGTCAGCAGTGCAGAGTATTCCAGTCGGTGTACCCTTCTACCAAGATACCAGACAGACAGACAACACAGAGAGTGCTTAGCTTTATCAAGCACCCAGTAGCAACCAACCCAACAGACACTTCCACACACACATCAACTGGCTGGCCATCACCTCAAAATGCCCTTCTTGAAAAAATATTTACCTAGCTTGGTTTGGGATAAATATTATTCAGATATACAGATATAGTAGTCGGTATGTAAATAATAATAACAATAAAAATGTAGGAGCTGGTATAATATTATCTAAAGCGAAATATAAGACTGTCTAGTTTCAATTTCCCAATAGTAATCTAATATTGTTCAGTCATACTTGTAATAGTTGAAAAGCTTCCATTGCAATGTATTTTGAGCTGCTATGATTAACCAAGGTCTACTCCTACTTTTTCTGTAAATATTGACAGAAGGCAGGCCTAATAAGGCTTATCATAAGTAAAACTTAAACCCATTAAATTCTTTTCAGAGGTGTTTTTTTTGTATCTTTGAAACCCAGACCAATTGGGGCTATAAAACATCTGTGTTTTATAGCTTCCTTGTTGATTCTTTCTGTGTTTAAATCATTTAGCTAAATTTCTAAGTGAGAAATAATGTTTATTGGACCTGAAATAAATTTCTGCCACCAGTAAATACTGCATTATTATTTTTGGGGTGGATTGTGGTTCTTGTCGGGAAGGGGATGATAAAACATATTTGTGTCTGGGGTGCTTAATTGGCAAGGCCTGACCCTTCTCTTTGGCTCTGCCCAATGAATAAGGAAAACTATCAAAAACAGTTATTACAATTTAGTCTTTATGTAGAATTGAGTTTTACTGCACTGAGCCTGAAAGTTGTATTTCATTCAAAACCATGGGTAATTAACCTTTTAATGTTTGTTAATATAATAATATACATGGAAGTAAAAGTTTGTATGCTTTGCTTAAAAATCAAACAGTTATAAAAATAAAGGATTATAAAAAGCAGGACTAAATATAAAAAGAATGAACTTAGAGTGAACTTAGAGGAATATGAGAGCAGCAGAATGGTGGCAGAGGTAGCTAATGCATCAGTAAGGCCATGTCAAAGATCTCTATCACCAGAATTCATTGCACCACATTCCAAAATGACTATGAAACTTGGCTGCATACAAATTATGAGGTCAAATTCATATATGGCAAGCAGAATAAAAAAGCTGCAGTTCATTTTCTGTTTTGTTCCAACTGAAGAAGTGAAGCTTGTTGGAGGATAGAGGTACATGGAAGAACTGTCAGGCAGCGGCACCAATAAAAAAAACAAAATATTTGTTCCCAAGATGTAAATAAAGTAGTAGCACACATTTCAAATGTCGGCTTTATGCAGATACAGTGCCATTTTTTAAACTTTATAAAGTATTACTAAGTTTTACATAAGTAGGTATGTTTTATTCAAAGATAATACACAGACATTTCTTCTTTGTTATTTTATATTGAGTAGCATGCCAGTGTTAAAAAAAGACCAGTTCGCAAAGGAGGTCAATGTGACATTTGTAACAGAAAATTCTTGCAGCAGACACTGTCTTTATGATGAAAAATTATGTGATTTAATTGGTTCTGCATCTAGAAATGCTTCTACCCGAAAGCGACATCCCAGACTCTACAGACCTCAGTTAGCATGATAAATGTTAAAGTTTATGACAGTTTAATTAGAAAAAAGGAGGAACAAGTATGACCTACTTTAGAAGGCTTTCATGAGGAGTATGTCTATTCTCCCTATACAAAAAATGTGCTGACATGTTTGCAAAGTTAGATCTTAAGAAACCACAAACATATCCTTTGAACAGATGAGACTAATATCAAGATGTGTGGATTTTATGTAAACCAAAATTCTACTGTAAATCAGCCGAGTGAGCTGAGCTAATTCAATTTAGCAAACACTCGGTATCTGTCTTACAGACAAATTCTGTAAAACTGTATTAAACCCTTTTGCAAAGTAAAATGTTAAACTAACTGAAGAGTCATTATAAATGGTTATAGTGCAAATTGAAAAGAAACGTTACTTCATTGTGGTCTGTTTTAGCAAAATTGAATAAACCTCAGCTAGAAGATTTTTGAGTTTTAGTTTACAGTGTTGTGAAAAAAACACACTCCCCACAACAGACTTAAGCAAGAACATCATGCTCTCCACACTGAAGGACCAGGGTTTCCTCTAAAAATAGGTTCTGCATTGTCCCTTCTTGTAAACAGTATTATTGTTATATTTTGTTTGCACCCTAGTCTGTCATCCAGAGTCCTTTCTATAAATCCACTCCTCAAATCCATAATCATTCCACTGGACTTCCTTCGACTGAAGATAAGATGAATGTCATAAAACAGTCCACTCAGTTTCTGACAACTGCAGTATTACCAGTCCATTGTCTGCAGATGAGGTGTTATTGTAATAAGTGTTCAAAGCTCTGTGCCATGTGTTGCTTCTGTACAGCTAACTACAGGATCAGATATTCATTATCAACATATTTTTCACAAATACACACACACCAACAAATATGCACACTTCTCTTCAGTTGTCCCCCCTCTGAACATAAACTACGGGCTTATCTACACTTGAAGACGCTTGCATCTGGGGCATCTAATTTACACACACAACAGCACACACACACATTATGCTCTTGCTATATGTAGTTTCAGTTCAATTCAATTCAATTCAAGTTTATTTATATAGCACCAATTCACAACACGTCATCTCAAGGATCTTTACAGTTCACAAGATCATACTTTCAGATTGATTTACAGTTTTCTATCTAAGGAAAACCAGTTGATTGCATCAACTCATTGACTCGGACGCAATCCCTCACACTAAGCATGCTCGTAGTGA